ATGTTAATTTCTCGGTTTTGTCAAAAGTTTATGTACCATGTGATCTCACTTTCTGTAAAAATACTTGAGGAGGGCAAAAAGACATATACCCAAACATTAGTAGCAGTAAAGATGGCTTTTAGTTTTTATTTTTCCTGAGTTTTCTACTTTTTGAGTATGAAATTGTAATTTAAACTGGAGACCCAGATTCCCAAGATAGCTGCTAGAAATATTGACTTCAGGTAATCCCCTTAAGCTCAATGGACCTCATCTGATAAAAGGAGACACAGGAATGAAATTCCTCTTCATTTCATAATGACTTAGAATTCTAAATTGCCTGAAAAATTACACAGTAATCTAAAGGAATAGATATAGAAACCTAAATTGAAACTTTCTGTTGTTTTGAAGCTTATGGACCACATATCTTTCTAAAGAAAATGCTGTGATTTTTTAGAAGTAACAAAACACTCATCTTTCTATTGCCCACTAACCAAGAAACTTGACATTGACTGACCTCAGGCTTTTAAGTGAATTGATAACCTTTATCTTTGCCCAGCACTTTCTTCACCTTTGGTTTTCATAACAAGCAGGGAAGATATTATATTTCCATTTTTCAGATGAGCATTCCAGAGGTAAACAACCCAACACACACAATGGCCATTGGTGGTAGAAGGGAAACTAATTAGTCAGGGGCAGTTATCAAGAGCTTTTGACTCTGTAATACTGCATCTTTTCATTTGTTTTTTTTTTTCTTCAAAGGTTGACATCCTATGACCCTTTCATTCTCTTCACCTGGGAATAGGTGTCAAGTCACTGTATAAAATTGGAAAGCTGAGTAAACTCTAGCCCACTTTCTTTACTGGAGATGAAGTAGAGTTCTACCCTTTTACAGATGGGGAGAGTAGGGCTGTGGAGGCTAAAGTTACATGTTAAATGACCTGTGCTGTTCTCGGCACAGTGTATTACAAAGAGCAGAGGTAATATTCTCCTGGAATAACCTTTGAAAGCAGTGTAAATGTCACTGAGGATCAAGCATGACCATATATTCAAATGCAGTTACTGAGCACTGCTGTCCCCAAGGCCCTTTGTTTCTTGGAAGGGTAGTCAGCCACAGTAGTATGTTTTTTTTTTTGTTGTTGTTGTTGTTTGTTTTTTGGGTTTTTTTTTTTTTTCATCTGCAGATGGCTTTGTCCTACAATTTAGGTACCAAGTTAGTACTTGAATATTTTATATTTAGTACAACTATAGGGAGCAAAATTTCTTTTTAACATTGTGAATTTAAGTATAAAAAAAACTTCTTCTCAAACATATCTGGAAGCTGGGATTCTTTTATTCTTGTATTGTAACATTTATGTTTTTAGCTCCTGAGGTTCCTTGAAGTGTTATAAGTAGTTATTAGATCTCAGAGAACAGAATATCTTGAGTAATTAAATTGAGGGGTTGGTCTTTTCATTTGGTTTTGCTAATTTTAGGGTTTTTTGTTTTTTGTTTGTCTCTTTGACAGGATCTGGCTGTGTAGTCCTTGCTGGCCTGGAATGCACTATGTAGACCAGGCTGGCCTAGAACTCACAGAGATCCACCTGCCTTTGCCTTTCAAGTGCTGGGATTGAACAAGTTATTTTCTGTTTTCAGGTTATTTCTTAAAATGTTCAACTTCATATAGCAAAAATATGAGCATTAGGAAACATCAGAGGTCCACACATTAGCCCAATGCCTGGGCATGGCTAGTTGTGCTTAGAGTGCGCTAGGCGGATTCGGGCTTTTAGGACCAAGTACAGATAGATGCAAAGGTGTGCTTTGAACACTGAATATTGACTTGAGGTACTCTCTCAGGGCCCCCACAGAACTTCATTTGTGTTACAGGAAGAGCCAAGTGGTAACCTTTTATTGTAGATACAGATATCTTACAGAGAAACTCTTAGACATCTGTGGTATTTTGTTTATTCATTTTGTATTATCAGAAACTAAAAATATGCAGTATATTCTGTGAATTGTTTTTATATGGTGATAGCACCAGTGTGGTGCATCTATATTAAAAAAGAGACCTGTGAATCTACTGACTGGGTTGTATTGTAGGCCCCAAAGTCTTCGGAAGTGATAAGTACTTTGGAAGAAATGTTATTACCATGGTTTATTGACTGATCCTTGTGTCACTAACGAAGTGATCAGTAGAGAGTGGGTTGTGTCTGAACTATCCAGTGTGGAGGTTTTTCTGGGCGGGTCTATTTTAGATATGTGCTTCTTACTTGTGGTGGTAATTTAACAGAAGAGGACTTTCTCATAATTTGTAATTAAACAAGTTTACCCTTTTAAAAAATATCTATCAGAGCCGGGCAGTGGTGGCGCATGCCTTTAATCCTACCACTCAGGAGGTAGAGGCAGGTGGATCTCTGTGAGTTCAAGACCAGCCTGGTCTACAAGAGCTAGTTCCAGGATATCCTCCAAAGCCACAGAGAAACCCTGTCTCAAAAAACCAAAAAAAAAGAAAAGAAAAAAAAACAACCAAAAAACTATCAGACCAGTTTCTTGGCAAAAGAAATGGCAATGCCACACATTAATTCTGAAGATCAACTTTTTGCTTATTTTTTAAGTTTATTTTGACTGGGGAAGGGAGACAGCATCTCAAGTAGTGCCCATTTGCTATATAACCCAGGATGGCTTTGGACTTCCAGTTATGCTGCTTTCACGCCCCTCCCTCTCTTCCTCTTTTCCCCAGACGGTTTCTTTGTGTAGCCCTGGCTAGACCATGCTAGCCTCAAACTCACAGATCCATCTACCTGCCTCTGTCTCTCTAGTACAGAGATTGCAGACATGTGCCATCGGGGCAGATTTAGGTGGTGCTTGGGGTCAAACCTGGGACTCTGAGAATGCTAGGCAAGCACTCTGCCTGCTGAGCGGCATCTTCAGCCCTATTGTTTTGTGTGTGTGAAAACGAGATGTGAGACTAGAAAGGTGGCTTAGTGGCCACAAGCACATGCTGCTCCTGCAGAAGACAGTTCAGGTATCAACATCCACATCCTATCCAATGGCTCACAACCACCTGTGCTCTAGGGAATCTGGTACCTTCACTTCCTGGGACACCACCACACAGAGTCTTTAAAAAAAAAAAAAAAAAAAAACGAACAGGCAGATTTTAAAGATAGCTTTAAAAAAATTTTTCAACTAGTGTGTGGGTGTGTGTGGGTGTGGTTTATTTATGTGGTACACACACGTGTGTCTTTGGACTCAGGAACATAGAAGCCAGATAATTGCATTGGTTATTCAGTTCTGTCATTTTTTCAGTTTATTCTTGTGAAAAAAAAAGGTCTCTCACTGAACCTAGCACTTTATTTTTGGCTAGGATGATTGGCCAGAATTCCTGGCAACTCTCCTGTCTTTGTCCCCAGAAGCATTGGAATTTCAGGCAAGTATGGCCACAGCTGTACATGTGTGCTGGGGATCCTAACTCATCCTCATGCTTCTAATTCAAGCCATCTTTCCAGCTCTCTATTATTGTTAGAGTCAAGATCAGAAGAAGGTGTTAGACCCCCCATTGCTAGACTTAGATGTCAAAATGAGCATCCCAACACAGTTGCTGGTGACTGATGTCCCCTGTGAATCGGAAGTCACTCTTAACCTCTGAGTCATCTCCCCAGCCCCTCTCCTAGAGGTTTCATTACTCATTAAGTATCAGACATCCTATTTAAGAAATTGTGTAGGTAAGAATTTTAACCACCTTTGCAGATGAAAGATGTGTGTTGGTTTTTATAACTATTTGTTTCATTTGCTTTGTGAAGTCACATGCTTCACACAGTGTTTAATAATCAAGTCTCTGTTTTCAGTGCAGATTTTCAACTTAAGGTGGATTGACTGACCATATTCTGAAATATATATTGCATTTTGATATTTTTATCATAGGGATGATTTAAAAAAAACTTAGCAATATATAGAGGGAAAATGAGACAAAAATTTCATACAAGCTAGCCTTTACTAATAATTTGTTTCTGTTCCACATTTATTATTATAGTAGGCAAATATAAATACATTATTTTACATTCTTAAAAATAGAATAATTCTATAAAAATAAAATTCCTCGTTTATTACCTTTGTTTCTCAAAAAAATTCTTGATGTCTCAATTTTATGTATCTATGTATTTTAGAAGGCTTTTTCATTGTGTGCATTTTGCTTTCTCCTGTGTTCTTGGCAGGTAGACCAGTATGTGCAGACCTGCATCATTACTTAACAGTTACCACACTGCTGAGCTGTGCTTCCTTTACCTGCATTATGCTGTTAAACAAGTGGGTTGTTTCCTGTCTTGCTGCAGTGTTGTGTTTAGGGTAGGGTTGCTGCAGGATTAGAGTATGTGCTTTAAAATGCTGAAAGGTGTTTTCAGATTGCCATCTAAAGATAAACTGAATTTTCACTCCTGCCAGCAAGGAGGATTGCAGTCTACTGTTTTCCCTGTACTTCCACTGTTGTCAACCAACTACACTAAAAAATGGTTTGTTGCTACAACTCCAGTAAATGAGCTTAGTTCTATTCTTGTCTGTCTGTCTGTCTGTCTGTCTGTCTGTATGTCTGTCTGTCTGTCTGTCTATCTTTCTATCTGTCTATCTAAGTCAGGGTATCTCTGTGTAGCCCTAGCTGTCCTGGAACTCCCTTTGTAGAGCAGGCCGGCCTGGAACTCACAAAGATTCACCTGCCTCTGCCTCTGCCTCTGCCTTCCTGGTATGGGGATTAAAGGCGTTCGCCACCACAACTGCCTAAAATTAAACTTGTTTTTATTATTTTTGTTTGCTCGTTTGTTTTATCATCACCGGGTTTCTGGCTGTTCTGAATCTCACTTTGTAAGTTAGACTGGCCTTGAACACTCAGAGATCTTCCTTTGAGTGCTGGAATTAAAGGTGTGCACCCCTACCACCCCCTTAGGTGTATTCTTAAGAGAAATAAACACATGAGGCTTTTAAAATGCTTTGAGGAATTAGAAAAAAATTAAAAGTCGGTATTATCTTCAATTTCTTTTTATGTCTTGCATATTTAGAGATGAAATTGGCCTGATCCCATGCCCTGAAGCAAGATACAACCGGAGTCCCATAGTCCTGGTTGAGAACAAACTTGGTGTGGAGAGCTGGTGTGTCAAGTTCTTATTACCATATGTCCACAACAAGCTCCTTTTGTACAGAACAAGAAAGCAATGGCTAAACAAAGATGGTGAGTATGAATGACCCCCCCTCCTCCTCTGGGGTGAGCCCTTTCTTTGCGGGGGTGGGGTGGGGGGGTGGCATTCCTGGATTCTGGTTTTTGCTCTCCTCTGCACTGCCTGAGCAGGTGTTCAGCCTTTGTCACATGAGGAGCTTAGCCTTGATGTTCATGTTCCTGTTTGTAACCACAGTTGTTATAGTAGAAGTATCTCAGACAGAATTCAAGCCACCTGCTGCAGCCACAGCAGATTTATGTGTTAATATGCTGAGGTCATTTGTAAGATTTTATTTAAGGATAGTATCCTATAATTTAATAAAAAAGAAGAGGTTTGAGAATCACCAAAGAGTTTTCTAGTTCCTATAACTACTTGATTTCTGACCCCTTAACATTTTGTGGACCTTGGAACTTGTTTCTGTAGCATTTCAAATGAGATAGGCAAGGTACTGTTCTGGTAGCTGCAAGTGTTACCCCATCTTTGGTTACGAGTGTGCTGTTTCACTGGACCCCAATTGAGATCAGACTTTCTGAATCTTAGTACCAAAATGAGAACGTGAAAACTAAGAAAAGAAAAAGAAAATCTTGGCTTTTGATTCTTCCGATGTACTGTGGCAACTCTTTAGGACACTGGTATTCCCTAATCATCCCACCTGGTCTCTTTTTCCAGTATTTCCTCAAATAAAGCTCTGGCTGCACAAATCCTACTTAGCCTTTCAGGCTCACCTCGGGCCTCACTTGTGGGCAGTGCTTATCCAAGACCATGTCCTCTTCTGTTTCTGTGAAACCCTTTCCCTTCCCTTGTGCAGCAGCATCTGCACAAGTGCCAGTGTGCCTGGAGGCTAGTTTTCAGTAAGACCTTTTTTTCTGGACAATTTTCATCATCAGTTTGGTAATCTTTACCAAGGGACTGCTCTTACCAGAAGCTGCTCCGAGGACTGTGGGCAGAAAGGTGAAGGATACGTTTCCGTTAGCTAAGACGTTTCAAGATGAGTGCCAGAAAGCCTCTTTAGGAGAAGAGTGTGTTGCCAGATGTATCACATCAGATTTCCCTGAATTTTTCTCAGTATTGTCCTTAAAAGACTGCCCAAGTAGATTAATAGTGCCTTTTCTTGTGTGGACCATGACATAGTCTGAGTTTTTAGTGAGAAGTGGTTTCTATTTTCCCTGTGGCTTGTTTCATTTGATTGGTCCTCTGATATGTGTTCCTAATTCACAAGTGCTGCCTAACCCTGATGTGATGTTAATGGCATGACTAGAGTTTAAGGCACACACTTCAAACAAATGTAAGGAGATTTGGCTTTTGTTAGAACTCCTTTTTTATTGTCACCATGGCATAGGCTTCAGAGAGCCTTAAGACTCCACCAAATTACTTCTTGCCAAATGAAGCTGTATTGCTTTTATCCTGGTATACAGAGGTGTGACTCAGCCAATGTACGTCAGTGGGGCAGAATAACTGTCTTAGAGAAGAAACGGTAAGGATTCTTAAAGATCAAGTCTAAGTTATCTCATAGCACTAGATTTTGTCCATCCATGTACCTGAGCTCAACCTACCTTTGTCCTGGGGCTATCAAACCTTTCTGTGCATTTCAGATTCTTATCTTGTGGGCACCAGACTGCAGGCTCTGCCATCTATTCTCATGATTTCCATCTTGATGACTTCACATGACATTATATCAGGACACACAGGCAGGTTTTGACTTTATTTTTGAAAGTCTGGGTAAAAGCTATGATAAGCTAAGGCGTAGGTAGGAAAGGAAGCATACTTGGACCATCTGGGTAAAAGCTATGATAAGCTAAGGCGTAGGTAGGAAAGGAAGCATAGTTCAGTACAGTGTCGCAGGCCCTCATGTCATATTGTCAGTAAGAGAAGGTAATTCTGCTTTGATGTCTGAAAATGCTACTGTGAAAACATTGTGCCAAATTTATGAAACAAAACATTTAGAATGCAGCTGAATCTTGCTAAAGAAAAATAAAGTCAAAAATTTTAGGAAAATGCCATTTCTTTGAAACTTTTTTTCTAGAAACAGCTATATATGTACAAAGAGACAAGGGTAGAAAGCTGATAATTTAAAGAAGTGGTCCAGTGTCTACTTGATTGGGCTAGAACCCTGCAATAGAGTCATAACTCGGTGACTTTTATCATCAGAATAGATTTTTTCATTAATTAATTTTTTATTAATTAATTTATTATTTATTATTTATTATTTTTTATTTATTTATTATTTATTATTTATTAATTAATTTTATTAATTAATTTTTCATTAATGATCTAAGTTCCTTAAATATTTGAAAGATGTCTTGTTTAGCTAGGGAGTACTACTTTTTAGCAGTCTGATATAGTAATAGCCATATTTGATTTGGCAGAGGACTGATATTATAATCCTTATTGACCTGCCCCCCCCCAAAAAAAAACAAAAAAAGGGGGAAGAAAGAAAGAATGGCACAGCTGTGTTAGGGTTCTATCACTGTGATGAACACTATGATCAAAAGCAACTCCAGGAAGAAAGGGTTTATTTTGCTTACATTTCCACATCATAGTTCATCTTCAAAGGAAGTCAAGGCAGAAACCTGCAGGCAGGAGCTGAAGCAGAGCCATAGATGCTTGCTTGCTTTCTCTCTTTTTTCTTTTTTCCTTTTCATTCTCTCATTTATTGCATCCCGAACAATTCTCCCTCCCCCTACTCCCTCAGTCCCTTCTTCCCACCTCTCTTCTCCCTCAGACCAACTCTTCCCCCTCCTCTGTTTCCCTTCAGAAAGGGGCAGGCCTGCCGGGGATTTCAACCAAACCTGGCATATCATGTTACAATAAGACTAGGCACATCCACTCATATTAATAGCCTGCTTTCTTATACACCCCAGGGCCACCTGCCCAGAGATGGCACTGCCCACGGTGAATGGGTGCCTCCTACATCAGTTACTTATTAGCAAAGTTCATTATAGATTTTCCCACAGGCATATCTTGTGGAAGCAGTTTTCCCAATTGAGATTCCCTCTTCTCAAATGACTGTAGCTTGTGTTAAATTGACATAAAGTTAGCCAGCAAAACAGCATTAAGAGCTGGGCAGAACTCTGTATATATTTAAACACTATATATTTCGCATTTTTTTTTCTTCCTCATTTCTTTTTCTGGCTAGACTTTTATTTCTCAGCTGGGCTAATGATGGTTGTTGCTATTCCAGGTTCTTCCGTTATTCATGTCCTTTGTCCCACTAGTCAGTCTCTTCAAATAGCACCTTCCAACATCTTATTTGGTTTCCTCTCAAAAACATTTTTTTTTTCATTTAAAATATGCCGGGCAGTTGTGACACACGCCTTTGATCCCAGCACTCAGGAGGCAGAGGCAGGCAGATCTCTATGAGTTTGAGGCCATCCTAGTCTACAGAGTGAGTTCAAGAACATGCTCTAAAGCTACAGAGAAACCCTGTCTTGAAAAATAAACAAAACAAAACAAAAAATTTGATATAATTTTATCATTTCCCTCTCCTCCCATGTTATCTCCTTTCAACTTCCTCATACCCCCTACTCAAGTTTGATGGCCTCTTTTTACTATTATTATATATGCGTGCATGAGTATATAAAACCTTTTGAGAAGCACTTTTCTGAAATGCATGTATCTGCTCATATCTTATTTCATGATTCTCTCAGAGCCAATGAAATACTAAAATTCCTTAGATGGTATTCAAGGCCTTTAACCATCTGTTCTATTCTATTCTAAAGCCTGATTGCCAGTGTTGCAGCCACATCGTATTTGGCTTCAGATTGCAGGTTCTTAGCCCCTAGGCTGATACTTATCTATAGACACATTTCACTTGGCTTATATATTTCAAAAACTGTCCTTAACTAGTTAAGTAAGTGTTTAAAATCAGGATGGGAAATTTGAATTTCTGTCCTTTTTTGAAAAATCAGTTGGCCTGAGTCTTAAGTTTCTACATAGCAGCAGTAACCTACAGTTTTCTTAACTGGGAAGGACTGCCGGCTTACTGTTGTAACCTCTCCATGCCAGTCAGACACTGAGAATAGTGTCACTTGCTACTTATTATTATCGTGTTGCTGCCTTTGTGACTTCATTTCTGTTTGTAGTATTTAATCTTCATTCCAGCCACCATCTACACTGTTCCCTTCTCTGACTTCATTGTGTGCTACTCCATTATTTTGCCTTTGTGTTGTCATCAGCCTGGTCTCCAGCATTAGCAAGCTGAATTCACAATCATCCCCCGGGAAGCCTTTCTGTCTGCTTCAGGAAGCAACGTGTGGGAGGCCTTTATTTGGATGACTTTCATAGTCCTCACTCTCCATAGTATATTGTAGTTTGTCATTTAAACATTTTTCCTGCTAGGTTGTAGGTCACTGAGAACAAGAATTGTGGCTCTTACTCAGTACCCATAAGTGCTAAAGTGTCACTTGTCAGATTAGCAAGAACTCTTAGCTTAGCCCACCATTCAAGGTGTGTGTACTGTAATAAATAGCTTTACCTTAAGCTGTTCCTTATATGGTACTTGAGTATGTTTTGGAAGGAGGTTAACCAGTTTATCTTGAATTTATTTAGTTTTAGATGCACGTAAATCATTCTCTGCCAGAATAGTTGTAAAACCTGGATTATTGCTAAAATGGAGTACAGTAAAGAAAGTATATCAGTTTAACCTGTGACTTCGGTCATGTCCATATGTGCTTTTCTTGTTCCAGCTAGAATTTAGCTACTTCCCTGTATATGTTGTACCCAGATTAATTTTCTGCCTGTGAGATGATGATGGGTTATTCACACATTGGAATGTGTATAGTGAGCATGTATTTACTGCCATCTATGTTTGTGTATCTCGAGAGAGACCCATTTGATTCCAAGAGTCTGCTCATGTCTTCTGGGTAAGGCTGCAGAGGAACTGTCCTGTAGTTGGTGACATTTAGAGAGTGAAATCATCACACTCAACTGTTACTGGCATGTGTTTATCTTTAGAGCTTGGTCCATCCTTCCTGTATAGGACAAAGCATCTGCCAACAGTGTGGTGCATCTGCTTTGCTGGAAGACAGACCTGCAAAGCCAGTGCATCAGCAGGCTGAGGTTAAATTACTTCCTTTCTTCTCCCTGAAAGGAAGTACTGACTGAGACCTCGAGATTTTCTTGCTGATGTGACTCTTCCATTTCTGGCCTCATTACTCTGTCTTGGTTGGCCCTGTCCTGTTTCTTATGTTATACTTTCTCCCCACTTCTTGCCTTAGAACTGACTTCTGAGTCAGGAAAGATGAGAAGTTTGTGAAGCGGAGAAAACCCTAGTTGTGTGACGGCTGTCAAGGCTGCTGGTGTTTCAAATGCCAAGATTCTTAGATGTTGTTAGTTATCCCTCTGCACGTGGTCACTGCCCAGCTCAGATTTCTTCACTTCCTACTAGGCGTCCACTCTTAGTAGTGCTTGTGGAACTGACTAGGAGATGCAGACTTCATAATGAAAATTAGCATTCAGAATTCAGTGTTCACTGTATGTCAGCCTGACACTTCAGGCTTTTAATTATTTAACACTTCTATGAGCTAGCTCTGATGTGAGCTTCTTTTATAGTGAGAAAACACTAAAGCATGATGAGATTGAGCAACTTACTTACATATTTATTTTGCCCAGAATTCCTAGTTAAGTGTAGCAGGGCTGTGATCCTAGCAGCAGCCATCTCTAGAAAGGAAGCACTGCCTCGATGCGTCTTCTTCCACAGCCTCTTCCTGCTGCTTGGGGACCAGTATTGACTTTGTATGTTCATTAGCTCCGCTTGCACTACTGTACAGAGGCTTCACTCTCACTAGTAGGGAGTAGGAGGAGAGTTGGCATTAAACGTACAAACAGAAGTAACACTCATTGTACATTTTCTGTACTGTGGAAAGCACATAGGGACCGAGAGCCAGTTTACTTAGGGAGTAGATCAGCTTTTGGAACAATAGCTGACATCAAAGAACTCCCTATCACATATAAACCTTCCCATGTGCTGTAAGTGCTTGCTGGGGTGGGGTACTGATGACTGTTCTCTAAGGTTAGGAGTTTAGCCAGTTTCAGTGTAATAGCAATTGCTTCTTGGTGCTGTAGTTGTGCTGTGCTCTAAAGTCTCTTGGAGCACACTGTATGTGACATCACACTACTTTGGCTTTCCCACACTCTCTGACATCTGCAGTGCCTTTACCACTGCACTCATAGGCCCCATGGGTACACTAGTAAGAATTAGTCATTGCTTCTGTGGAAGGCCCCGGGTATATGTCCTTTGTTTGCCCTCTCCATCAAGAAGATAACCTTATGAAGGGTAAGATCGGGTCTTATTAGAATTATACCTGTTCTTTGAGTCCTGGGCCTGTTTAATCTTTGCTCATTGTTGATACTTAGAACATTTCTGGAATTAAGTGAATAGTGATATAGAACATTATATTAGTTTCCTTGGCAAGTAGTAAATTAGTGCCAAAAACTATTTAAAAATGAAAGAAAAAGGATACGAATTAGATTGTTCTTTATATGCACAGCAAGCTCATACATAGGGACTTAGAGTGGGAGAATGAGGGTCACAAGTCAGTGTGTGCAGTTCATGATTCTCAGTTTTTGAATGCTCAAAGTGATCAGTAGTAGGAGAATCATAAGTGCCGAACAAATGCTAATCTTTTTATTAAGGTTATGTGATAATAGAATAATTGATAGTTAACTGGACCATTTTTTAAGTGTATATATGAGATACTTACGTGTTTGCTCTGTGTTTGAAGTTTATCTTGTACTGAGTACTTCAATGCCTCATTTATCTCTATAGGCCAGGTATTTCCATTGCAGTATAACTGATAGGACCAAAGTGTCAGGTATTAACCTTGTCACATACTAGTTGGTTAAAACTCTGGATCTCAGGGCTGAAGAGATGCCTTGGTGGCTGCTTGCTGCTTCCACAGGACTCCCTGCACCTACATGGCGGCTTACAACTGTCTATAACTCCAGTTCCAAGGCATCCAATGACCTCTTCTGGCCTCTGCAGGCACAAGGCACACAAATGGTGCACAAACAAAATACAGACAAAGCATCTGTATACATAAAATAAAAATAATCTTCAATAACCCTCTGAGTTTCATTTCCTGCTGTAAAGTTGAACAGAAGTGGCTTGGGTCATGGCTGTAAGAATGCAGTGAACTAACATGAATAAAGCACTTAGCATTGTCTGCTCCCAGCAGCGCCACATAAGGTCTATCACCAATTTCTATAGTTTATCCACGTGGTATTTAATACCACTGGTGCCATTACCTACTTTAGTGATATGTCTCTAGGTTGATAATAGCAATTCTAAAATTCTCTTCAGTTTTACTAACAAGAAAATGTCCAGATTTTATCAATTTGCTTCTTTTAAAAGCAGGTTTATGGCATTTATTTGTGTCCATGAACATTTTATTAAGACCTTGAAGAATAAATATCTAGTGAATAAGAATAGAATATCCTAAATGAACTGAAAATAGAAAACAAAAATGAAAAGTGACCATATGACTGAAGGTATAAACATGTCAGATAAAACATAGTAGAGTGTTGTTTTTTTTTCTTTTAACTCATCACATTGTTGTTTTAAAATATAATTACAGGAGATCTTGTTCCTTTCCCCTTCCCCGGGAGACCATTTGTGTCTCTCTTAATAGTCCTCCTTATTGCCTATGGTGTGGATTGTAGGCTGGTTATCCTTTGTAGACCAATAGTCCTCCTTATTGCCTATGGTGTGGATTGTAGGCTGGTTATCCTTTGTAGACCAATAGTCCTCCTTATTGCCTATGGTGTGGATTGTAGGCTGGTTATCCTTTG